AACTGAACTGAACTCACGTGCACGAAAGATGTGCTCCGAATCCATGTTCGAAGATGAACTTAGTCAGCTTAAAAACATTCTAAGGGGAAATGTATACCCTAAAAGGTTCATCGAAAGAAACCTAGACAAAAAAGGAAGCTCTGAAGAAGAAGCCATTTATTTAACCGCCATTCAAAAGAGACGACCTGTGTGATCTGATCTGGAGACGTTTAGCGCGTGCTGCGAGATCAATCTTCAATGCATTCGGGTTTTCATTCACAGGCTCACCAATAATGAGAACATCTACTAAATACAGTTTTCTTATGCAGGTGTCACCTAAGGTTATCTATTCCTTCAACTGCGTTTGTAACGCAATCTACGTCGGCCGAACGGTGAGGTAACTGTTCCAGCGGATTTAAGAGCACTGTCCACGATGGAAAAGGTGTCACAGGAAGCGTTATTCTTGCTCATCTGGTAGATTCGGGTCACCGAGTGAAGCCTGAATCAGCCTACAAGGTCATTTATCGAGTAACACCTCACGCATCCAATTCGCTGCATCTCCAGACCCTAGCCACTGCAGAAGCGATCGGTATTCGTTTATTCAAACCTGATCTATGTGGACAAAGATTGGCCCATGCCATTCAACTGCCGTGGCCGAAGATCGATCGCACGGATGACGCATCACATTTTGATTGCAGTGTTGTGGTAATCTAGGGGCATAAAATACGTTACCCCATTTCCTCTCCATTTCAATAAATCACATTGACTTTTGAATGACTGAATGACTATCTCCGTTCAGCATGTCATTACCTCATTTGATCTGTCCAGACTAGAAGATGAACCTCAGAACGGTTTCAGCGTATTCGAAAAATGTTTTCTAGCCCACAATTACCCATATTTGGTCAATATTTGAGTGCAATGAAAACAATAATTCCATGATCAAACACTCTTCCGGAAAAACAATGAATAAGCTTATTAGATGCAGCGCATACCGACACCAGTCTGCAGCAAATCTGCAAATAAATCTTGTTGAGATGAACAAACAGTCTGGCTACTCATGAGTAGATAAAGGTTTGTACCAGAAATATAGACGGATTGTTTTACATTTTTTATTACACTCATTTGGACAACGAAGAACAAACGGAGTGGACATCCTGATCGCGAAAACCTGGTGTTCAGTGATGGAAACCGGTATCTCAAGCCCCGGGGATTGGAATTGTGAGCCACATAATGCCTCGCTAGATTAGGTGTAGTATTGAATAGGACGACAGCAAAGATGCCTACCACCAGTATCCATTGAACAACCACACGACATGCCTACTTGCTCGGTATTTTTTAAGTATACCTCTTGTACAATTTTCATTTTCTCCGGGCACAGATGGAGAAACGAAATCATTCTATGAAAATTCGTACCGTTATTTACGAGAGGCCAAGAATGAGGCGCATAAACTACGGGAACGAAATAATGACTTGAGAACCAAACTGGCTGAATATGAAAAAGTGAGTGTTTTAGAATTTTGCACAGTATTAATCTCTACTCATGCACCCATAGATAAAATATGCTAATTTTTTCCATTAAGTTCATGTGGACCAGACAAATTATGGGAAAAAACTTTACTCGTCATTCCGAAGATTTCCTTTTCATTCAAATCTCCCATTAGTAATCCTGAACTATCCACGAATATGCTTCATCTCAGTATAGATGGATTTTATGTTTTCACTGTGGTAGCCGAATTTAGCTAGTCCTCTCGTTCATCTCAATTTTTTCGCAACCTTAGACCACTGGAGTTCTCCTTTTTATATGCCCATTTATTAAGAACAATGTAGGCGAAAAAATGTTTTCGGTCAATGCCTTTTCAAGTCTTTGCAATCACATTTATATGAAACAATTTCAATACTGTCAAACAGAAAAAGTGGATGAGTCACGTGTTTGGCAATGAGGTCAAGAAAACTCAAAATTTGTGAGCAGTTTGGATCACATAACCAAAGTGTTTACGTCATGGTCGTGTGAACAAGCGATTTTCTCTTCCCCTGGTCAGGGGATTTTGAGAGCTTAAATCAGTTTACGTTATGCGCACAGCTCAGGCTTCATGAGTCGGATGGTAACCGCCTCTGCGGTTGCTAACGTCCGAAACCGTATTGCTCTCGAGGGTTGTGGTGAGACTCGATAAATGATTGTTAATGCCGAGCGCATGTCAAACAAGTGACCTGTCTCTACCAGTTGAGCAACGATCGAACTTGACACAGCTCCACTCCCATTGTCAAACACATGACTCATCCACCTTTCTATTTGACCGTATTGAAATTGTTTCATATAAGTGTGATTGTAAAGGCTTGAAAAGGAATTCACCCAAAAAACATAGGTTCTCTATTTTATCTTTGACACTGCTTTCCACTTTATAATCGAATGGGCCTCCAAAACATTGCAGTCAAAACCGGTGCATGATAAATGGTTGTTCAAAATGAAACTGAAACTCCAAGATTCATCTTGCACTACTTAAGTGAATCATTTTCGAAAAATAACGGTTTTCGTTTTTGATGAACACTAAATGTTTCCAAAAATCAACCTCAAAATAGAACACTCGATGGTTGTCATCAGTGAAGTTCTGTTCAGTATTTTAAGACATACCAGCAATAGTCTCACCATGGCTAACCACCCTAATTAGAAATCCTGTGTTTTTCATGAACGTTTAGTCACACATATTTCACAAATGTCGATTCTTTATTTCAAGTTTTTCCGCATTGATTTTTATTCAGCTTCAAGGTCAAGTTCGGGACCATGAGTATTTGGCCAAACCGAATGAAAGAGTATTGAATACGGAATTTTCCAATCAGGTTTGTTTTAGTTCACCTATGTTCAAAATTCCACAAATTTGTTCTCGCACATTCTGACCATTTCTTATTTGCATCTTATATATGTTTGTACACGCACTTATTAGGTCATGCTTGAAGTCTTGGATAATCAAGTGGCCCAGAAAATGAATCGTTTAAATCTGCTCAAACATCAAACACGGTAAGTTTTATCAACATTTTGAAACAGGAATTTGAGCTCCTAGTGATTTCACAGTTGTTGAGTTCTTTTCCCAGCTTGTCTATACTGTACTACTGATAGTACTAATCTAAGCGGTCGTGCATTTGCTTATGCGTAGTCTGAAGTAAAATGTCTGCTGCCACTGACAAAAATTCAGTTCATGACGCGTGAGATTTCTTTTGAATTGCCAACTTACTGGAACAATTGGACCACAATCACCCAGATTTGAACTTGCAGCGGTTTTCTGCTATTTACTCTGTAATTTACCCTCATCTGATACGGGATAATGTTACGCTTGGAGTACAATTCCCATCTAAAGTGCTGCTGAATGAGGATTCGCACAAATTAAATCAATTTTCTGGGACCAATTCACCGAAATAACCGTAGCCGGTCATTAACAATCGCGAGTGTTGAAACGGTGTTTCAGACCGTAATATCTGTGTTCCATCGGTATTTAAGTGCGTCCCATGTGATAAAAGCTATGATTGTGAAAGCGGTATCATATTGAATTCAGTGTTGCCTACTGTTCCGTCTGACCAACTCTGCACATTGGTTTACACTTTAAGAATTACAAACGCAGTGCCACACTTCCCGTTCTTAATGAATTTACACGTTTACTACTCATGAGTAGTGTAACGTTTTTCCGTTATATATGTTTCGACCAGATGTTAGTTTGTTCAACCATTAACTACGAACTTTTGTGTAGCTATACATTGGGTGTAATTCAACTGGCCGCTTATCTGTACACAAGCGTCATGTAGCTAACGAACATAAGTTGTTCGCATTGATTCGTCTACATCTCAGTTTGGGCAACTATGATAAAACGGAGATAGTAGTTTCATGAAAGAAATGAAAGAGACAAGAAGTATAGATCTTGTATCCTGTTCCCGGCTTTCTGTCAAGACCGAGGGTTACGAAAAGTCGTCCGGATTTGGAGTCCTGGGCGACACTGACTTCGTAAACCGTAATCGCGTACACCGTGGTGGGGGTATGAAAAGTGTTGTATTCTACGCGCAGTGCATCCACTGTGGTACCATTTTGAAAGTAAATCAACGCTCTATCCAACGAGCTTCGTTGCACTTCTCGTTGTGCTTTTCCAAGAGAGCTAAGGGTTTATTTTGTGTAATTCAGTTATGTGCTACTTTCAATCACGACTGAAAGTGTGTCCGT